CAAGTAATTTTAAGTTCTTACCTGTTTTAACGCCATTAAAATATCACGGAATTAGTAACGAAAATTAAAATTTCACTCTGTAAGCCTTTTGTTCTGCAAAGAAATGCATGGAATCGTCATAATTTGATCTGCGGTTTGATTTTCGGTTTCCAGAATCGCGAGACTTGATAAACGCTCCTGGCTCACCGATGATCGTAGATATTTTTTAATATGTTTTAATTTGCTGAAACTTCTATCTGAACAGGTTGAAATGTTCGTGATTCGTCCTCAAACAGTTCATCAGATTGCTTTTTTTTTACAGATTGCTTGACAAAGAAAAAATGTGCTTTGCCATTTTTTCTTTGTCAAAATAGACTCAAATGCAATTTTTTCGGCTACTGTTCTAGACTCTTGTATCCAATATTCCATAGGATTTTTCTCTCATTTTTTTATAATTCCCAGTTTTGGTTAGTTCTTTCGTTAACTACACAGAACGCGGAAGAGGAATTCCTTTTGAATTTCTATATTTACTCGATTGAATTCTGGAAAAATATTAGCTCAAATTTTCAGGTTGATAGTAAATTCAAAATTTTTCACAGCATGTACCAGATGTCCTACCTTATGCTTTGATTCCGCATCAGGAGAAATATCTTTAATTTCTTTTAAATATTTTAATATTTCCGGTAAATTCATTGAAGAACTTTCACAGCCACATATTTTGCCGACCATCTTGCCTGGCTGCTTCCTTTTAAGTTGTATTTTGTACATTTTTTCATAATATACCATCGAGTAGTGCATCCGACAAAAAAACGAAGTATTTTCTGAGTAATTTCAAACAGATTAACTGCTTCCGCGCACAAAGAAGCAAAATGCACACCGACAAGATGCGAGGAGTGGGCCAAACATGGCCCAAATTCCTCCAGTTTATACATTTCTGTAATCCTAGCTTGTACTGTTTTAGAAATGCCAGTCATATTAGACCCGTTGTCGTAGGACTGACACTGACATTGTCCAATATCTAAACCATCAAGTGTCAATTAAGACACTAATTTTCTACAGTGCATTGAGAAATAATTCTCCTATCTTTCCACCAACTTCTATGAAATCAATTAAATTTTCCTTTATCTCACACACATCAACACACGTTTTGACGTATTGAATTACATGGTTAATTTTTTTCTGTATGAGACACATATGGAGTGCAGTTGAGCATTATTGTGTAGTATTTGTCTTCTTTAATATAGTTTAAAATGCTACTTCAGACTATTTTGCCTTTAAGTTTATAACTTCATTTTGAATTATCTTTGATAAATATGGTTCCTTTACCTTTGTTTGGCGCTTTGACTGGTACTTAAGAGTTGAATTATGTTTGCAAGCGGAGAGATTAAATTCAGAAAATTTCCTTCGCTAGGCCGAGGACACTTTGTGAACAGGCTCCTTGGGATATCATCAGACCCAATAAAAGAACGACAGTTTGTTGAAAGATACAGTACTGCATCCATGACTATATAGAATTTCTCTCCATTTCTCTTTCTCTGTGTGAATGAGTCGCTCAGTGTCGTGATTGATGCCTTTGGCACGAATTTCATTTGTTGTACTCGAATTTTCAACGTTAATCATGCACCTCTGTGGATTCCAGACGCTTCGTACTCAGTTAAATTTTCCTAAAACTTTTTTTTTTTTTTTTCCAATTAATAAATCCTGAAGTATGGTGTAGCGGCAGCACCTTGTTTTTGATAAATCTTGCAGAGTGTACAAAAAATTTCATTCTTGGTTTTAGAATATGTAAACCAAGATCTCCTAAGCTTTTCATTATTTACTAATGTTCTGTATTACATGTCAAATGTCTGCTATCACGTTCAGTAGGACCGGGGTAAACGTTTTCTGGATGTTTACTGGCTAATAATACTGATTGACTGCTTAAGAATGATTGTTGATGATCTTTCATTTTTTTCTATGACCAGCCAACTGCATGGGTCCAACAAATGGAAAATTTTTAGTTTTTCGTCTTCCTGCTGCTCGACCCCATCTAAATGAGGAGATCTTTAGGATCATGGTTTCATGTCCTCCAGCTATTCGTTTGATGTCGAATGAAGAAGGTTGTTCTTTCAAATGCTGACTTGTAGATTGTTTTGGAATGATATATGCAGTCATGTTTGGTCGTGAAAATTGCAAGAAATATTTATACCCTCTAGGAATCTCAGCATAATCGGAACTGCGGCAGGGTCTCACGGTTTACTTTCTTCCGTAAAGTTATTTTTCACCTTAGCTGAAATTTGTTTTCTCTGTTTGGCCTTATCTTTGGCTCGTTTTCTATATTCCGCTTTTCTCCCCCTCGGCGCGCAGATCGTTTCTTTTAATCTAAATAAAATTCACTATGAATTGCCTTAATAAGAATAACTAAGAATATACGTAATTACACTGAACAGTCCTAAATAAATGGTCGCGTCTCGCTAAATATAGTGCGGGCTATTAAAAGCAAGCATATTTTAAAAAACGAAAAAAATAAATTAGAAAAAAAAAAAAATCTGAAATGTTTCAGATTTTAAATTACGTCCAAAGGGGCGTTTTTAACATTTTGTGTGTTACCTTTCTTTATTAAATATCATGTTCCTCGCACTTAAACCATAAGATCAGTGGCACAGCAATATCGCAAAATAGTTTTTAAAACGAGCATATCTTTTAGAATTTCCGATACAGAGACTCACGCGCTGGAGATAAAAATGTTTTTTTCTGCACAACGTTGCCATTGCTCGCTTTGAAATCCTTGAGTTTGTTAATCAAAAATTCGTCAAAGTTTTAAAAAATAGGAAATCGATCATAAAACAAATTTCAAATTTCAAATTTGGTCTTCCACATGCTCATATTTGTTGAAGGATTACGTTATTCAAAATTCGATGACTCTATGTACCGTTATTTTATGACAATGTGAGAAATATACATACATTTACGCAGATTCTCATTATTTAATTTCTTCAAATATAATGCAGGACTCTAACATTTTATGGTAACCGACATTTATCCGTCCGACGCAAAATGCCAAAACGAAACTAATAGTCCTTCGGGATTCAAATCCCTTTGGACTAAAAAAAAAAAAAAAAAAAAAAAAAAAAAAAAAAAAAAAAGGTACAGAAGATACCTGAAAACTAAAAAATAACCATAAAAATAATAAATCTAGCTTTAAAATCCAAAATACGCTCCACTGTACCGAGTCAAACCAAAGGTGAGCGTAGTCGCCGACTTGCTGCCAAGAAATCTAAATGCCTTGCTTCATCTTGAAGATATAATGATGGTGTCTTGTATATATATATACTTGACGATTATTAATTTAAATTATTTCATTTGTCCGGGATCGCCCAAGGTTAATTTTTTGGGGTTAGCTCTCAGAAAATAGTTATAATGCTTCCCAGCAGATGTTGCTATGGAAACCAGGCGACTTCTTCAACAAACCATCGTCCTATTTCTCATTTGAATACACCTCGCCCAGACAGGAAACAGTAGAGGGACTTCAGACGTTACTGATAGGGTCAGTATGATTCTATCAGTGACGCCTGGAGTCCCTCTATTTGCGTCTTTCTGATCTTACTGTAGTTGTAATCGGCTGCACTTAACTTTAACTCATGTTCCTCTAAAAGGGTTCTTAGTATTTAATTATAAATCTTCTTGAAAGGGGTTTTTAAACTTGATCTTAAAACTATTAACATTGTACTAAAATTAGAGAGCTGTTTTAGCGAACAACATACCAAATACGATCCAGCGTTATATTTGAATTCGCCGCCCACGAGAGTTGCCTCCCGGGGCAAGAACCCCGGCTTGCCCCCCGCTAGATCCGGGACTGCCCCATATATCCAAACTTGCTTCGGGAACTCGAAAATGACTAAAACCGGCCTGTCACATAAACTTCGAAAAGACAGTTATTCTAATTCTTTTACCATCTCATTAACACCATTGATGCCAAGAGATATATTTATCTATAACATCGTAGTTACGGGCAGAAGACAGACTGAAGGAAGAGACTATTGAGACTAGAACCATGCCAGATTTATTCTTCCCTTTCACATTATTGCAATTTATTTAGTGACAACATGTTCGATAAACAGTGATTTGAATTTCCCCGAATAAGTGTTAAATTTTCATTTTTCCCCTTTTATGCAAAATTTCGATTTTTTTAATGTGAAAATTACGTATTCCTAACAACAGTGTTTAAAAAAAAAATAATAAATAAATAAAATAAACAACAGTTTTGTTAAATGCATTTTAAGGAACTGTATTATTTAGTATCATAGTGTATAGATGGCAGCACTTATTATTCGCAAAGTACATGCTGTTCGTTAATTCGAAGAAAAGTTCTCGTAGAAAACCACAGGCATTACAAGGAATTTATTTCTTCAAGTCGTTAGATATGCGTAACAGAGGTTAAATACGCTTAACGTAGAACGCTTATGATAACGCACTTTTTTTTTTTTTTTTTCTGTTTATGACTTTTTTTAATTCGTAGTTGTTGCTTCAATAAGTTGTTAAAGTATTAAACTAAAATTTTTTCATACTAAGTTTATAGTAATTCCTAAATCGAATGGAAATAAAAGCACAGAACATAAAGGCATTTAACTAACAAATCGTAATACGAATAATGTTCTGATTTGTTTGGGGAAAAAAATATATTATTGTACCTTTTAATAAAGCTGATGGGCATCTTTTGAAATATTAAAATAAAGAAAGAAAGAAAAAAAAAAAGAAGAAGCTAAAGTCAAAATATTGAGTGACATGTTAATTTACAAATGGAATTTGGAAGGCGTGGAATAGATGGAACAGGAATTACCCAATTTTAAAAGTGATCGAAACAAAGTTTAAATGAGAAAGCCCCATGCTATCCTGGAGATAGTTTGGCGCGGACTCCTGACCTTGCCAGCCGGACGTGCTTTCTAATTACCCCACGAAGACACACGGTGAGAAAGGAGAAAATATTTTACAAATTTACTGATTGACAGAACGGGTATACGAAGAAGAAATCTAGTACTCACTCTGGAGGCACGAATGATGCAATCAGTCAGAAATCCAGCTGCAATTCTTCCGAGAAAACCTCCGCTTTCCACGCTACTTATAAAAGCGCTGGCTGTAAAAAGAAATTTAATTGAAAAAATATAAAAAATAAAAAACAAAATCTGAAATGTTTCAGATTTTAAATTACGTCCAAAAGGGCGTTTTTTAACATTTTGTGTGTTACCTTTCTTTATTAAATATCATGTTCCTCGCGCTTAAACCATAAGATCCATTGCAACAGCAATATCGCAAAATAGTTTTAAAACGAGCATATCTTTAGAATTTCCGATACAGAGACTCACGCGCTGGAGATAAAAATGTTTTTTTCTGCACAACGTTGCCATTGCTCGCTTTGAAATCCTTGAGTTTGTTAATCAAAAATTCGTCAAAGTTTTAAAAAAATAGGAAATCGATCATAAAACAAATTTCAAATTTCAAATTTGGTCTTCCACATGCTCATATTCGTTGGAGGATTACGTTATTCTCAAATTCGATGACTCTATGTACCGTTGTTTTATCACAATACGAGAAATATACATACATTTATGCAGATTTTTCATTATTTAATTTCTTCAAATATAATGCAGGACTCTAACATTTTGTGGCAACAGTTTGAAAAGTGAACCGACATTTATGAGTCCGACGCAAAATGCCAAAACGAAACTAATAGTCCTTCGGGATTCAAATCCCTTTGGACTAAAAAAATTAAAAACATATACTAATTGCCTTTTTAACTAGAATAAACAACAATGAAGTACCAGTTAGTAATTTATGTAAATCAGTTTCATTTGTCTTTTATATTAATCATTATTATATCAATTATTTTTAAAGCCTTTTTATATTATTTATTCTTAAAATCGCTTAGCATATTTGAATAATGATATTCTTTTAGCCTTTTTCTTGAAACTTTGCCAAAGTATTCCTTAATTATAGCAGAACAGAATGTACAGCAATCCCAAATGTTTCCATAAACTTACCTACATACTGGGACTGGTTCTTTTCATTTATGAGGTAAACCTGCCCCCAGTCGACGGCTGTGGACCTGGCGCAGATTACAGTCATGAAGCACAAAGATAACAACCACATAAATGGATCGGACAATAAATAATGAATTGTTGCTTGCTTTTCAATCTCTGAAACAAATAAAATCGGTGTATCCATTTCTTCTTTCAAAAATTATGTCAAAGATTTTTTTCAAAGACCGTGAATCATTGCTTATATGATTGTTTTTTGCTTGTTTCTCTAACTGAGTTCATTGGGATTCGAAACTGGTTCAAACTATTCGTACTCAGCCGCCTTATTCATTTAATCACTGAAAGGCATCACTTATAGGATCGATATTTCCATTATCTGACAAATATTTTCGTCGGAAGTCAATTTTCTAGTTGCCGTTTAACTATACGGCATACCATCAGTCATTCGATATCCATTTGAGATGAGCGTACAGATTGGATTGGATTAGTTAAAATACGGCAAAGCACATGAAAGCTATCTACCTAAGAGGAGAGAAGCCTTCGTGGAGAATTTTCTTACGGAAACTGAGCGTATTGACATTTTACTTTGCGAAACCCTTGAAAAGTCTGTTCGCGGTATTTGAACCCGAATTGAATTTCTTAAGTGCAGCGGGTTTTTTACTCAGCCGTAGGTGAATCAGTTAGTGTACACTAATGTAAGCAAGTGAATAGAATTACTAAATATCTTTAATTCTGATTGCAGTTTACTTAGAAGTTAATGCTATGAGACTAGATTTTCTAAGAAAGCCTTCCAAGAATGTAAAATACATCTCAGCTTTGTTTAGAGTTCTTCTCTTTACATGTTAGCCGGTGAAATTCAACTCATGCAATTTGCATGAGTTGATATCAGATATGCAAAAATGATATGTTTAATAGTTCAAATATGTAAGAATTTACATTTTCAATTTTTATTAAGAAAATGAATGTGATTTAGAAACGTGTAGGGATTTATATTTATTTTAACTAATAATTTAAATTTTAGTTCAGAGTTTCCTATAAGCCTTCCTTCCCCTAATTGTCAGTGCCAGAATAGTTAATTTTGGTAGCGCGTGACGTGAATGTAAATTCTACTTTGAGGAGGAAAGTTTAAATACCGAGGTTTTAGAAGGAGAGTGAGAGAGTTGGGCTCGAGCAGCCGTCTCTGCCGTAGGTACAATTGCTGATTGCTGGTTCAAGGGGCTTAAATGCATTTATCTGCTGCCACTGGTTATAGAAGGGGTCAAAGGTCGGTATCTCGTTGAGCCCTGTAGATTAGTTTAGCACTTGTTAAACATTTCAACTTTGAATTTTCCAATTACCTGCTTTTTCAGTGACCGCCCAAGTGGAGGCGAAGTTTGTTAGCGTCAAGTTGACGCAGTGTGTAAATTTTAAAGAGTTAATAAAGAGCTTGAACCCTTCTTCTATGTAGTTTCCTGCTACTCCTGTATCTAGATAGAAGTTAAGCACCTGGACACTACAAACATATAATTGCACACTATTTATTTAAATGAGCTATGCAGAGATTGTGAATTGGTGTAAAAAAATAATATAATAAAATTGTAAAAATAAATATAGTGCGGGCATACAAATACAACCAAAAGTAATATATTTAGACATATTTTCCACGTTTTCACACCCTGCTTTCATAATCTGTGTAAACAGAGTGTACGTGTAATAGATTTCTGTACTTTATATACAAATAGGCGAAGTTTATATCTAAATCAAATTTTAAATACTTCAGAACCTAGGAAGCGACAGTTTAGCTGTATCTGTGTTGTTCGGGGGGGGGGACTTTCACCTTGTTTTCAGCATGCTGAATGCTTTTATAGTCTGCTGTTGTTGTATGACAGAAAAGCAATATATAAGCAATGTTTTAGTTTTTCAAAAAGGGAAATGATTAAAATATTTATTAATCAATGATAGACGTCTCATGATACGTTTGGCTGAGCAAAATCTGTTAAATTCATTTAACATGTTAATATGAAATGAAAACAAAAACTTATTAAGAATACTTGTTTTTGAATATATAAAAAATTAGATAACTTACTTCTCTCTTCAAATGCAGTGGAGCAAGAGGTTTGAGGTGGAATATTGGCGGATGAAACAACGGAGAAAAGAAGGAACCATATTGCCATCAAAACAGAAATGCTTCCTGAAAGTGATAGACTATTTATTACATTGTAAGGAAACAATAAATTAGTAAACTTAAAAAAAAAAAAAAAAAAAAAAATGTTCGTCGAGCGTAAACGCGCAGCGCAGATAACGATAAAATTATAAATAGTGTCACGTAAATCACTAAATGCTTCTCAAGATGGTTAAACTTAAAGACAGGTGTAAATGAACAATTAGAACTTTGATCGCTGAATAACTCTGACCACAAAACTGACCTTTAAATGATAATACTATCATATTGATCATTAGTAGTTCCTGAACTTCAAACGTTCTCATAATTTCAGGTATTACGTTTATATACACTATGAAGGCCGTTGTTAAGTTTCCATGAAATATAGACCATTCAAACTTAATCTTTCGGTGTAAAAATTACCTGAATTTAAATGTGAGATGACATGATGTCATTCTCAAATCACGTGTCACATGTTGAGGAAAGCAGTGGTATCTGAATTCATGTTATTGACAACTAATGCACGCATCCAATCGCCAAAGTACAGCAATGTTTATAAAAGAAGGATATCACCGACTTATAAAATCCATCATTTTCCATTTATTTAAAATCCACGGGACATACATGAAATACATTCTGAAGTCGTTTTGATTCATTCTCACAGATTTCAATTCATTACAATTCGAAAATGCATTATAATCTCCCACATTTAAAGGACGAATCGAGAGGGAACAGACACTGTCGCTAAATCTAGATGGTGACGACTTGTTGTTCACGGCATTTTAGGTGGGCGCCATTTCGTAGAGCTATTTAAAAATTTTCGAAACCAAAAAATCGTAAAAATTCGATTCTTATACTCTGAAGAAATCCGACTAAGAATCTTGTGACCCTTGCGTAACAAAGGAATAATCCTCAAAAGCAACTTATTATTATTTTTTTCCGGTGATTTAATTTAAGAAATGCACAGAATTTTAGGAATACAAATTACGTTTCTGTGTGTGTGTGTGTATTTTATTGTATTCCCTTCGTTATAATCTGGTTAAAGTATTACCTACACATAGAGTACTTTACTTACAAATACATATTTTCAAGGGCCACGAAAAGCATAAAAGCGCTAAGACGATTAATATCATCCAATGTTTTCCATAACTAAAATGGTTTTGTTGTGGTCCTAAAAGAGAAAGTTCGAAATTTACATCCTCCTTAATTTTCGAATATGTATTTATATGTTTTTAATTTGAAAGTATTATTGATGCATATATATAGCGTCCAAACTGTTTATTACAATATCAATTACAGATGCACTTACTAGAATAGTTTTGTCACTACTCCAATATTATCGTGGACATCTGCGCAATAACATATTTAGCCGTATTAGATAAATAATATGTTTAGTTTTGATTTTTAAGAATATTTATTTATTCCCATTCATATATATGCAAGTGCTTTATTCTGCATATATAGCTCTTTATATATGTAGGCCAAATAAGAGGAATTATTGAGAATTTCACACAGAAACCGCCGTACCGCAGAGAAACTGTCCCAAAGAAATGCTTCTTATTTTATTCTACAAGGCAAAATTTAAACGCTCTCCTGCGGTGCATTTATCAGAAACTTTATCTTTTATTTCTGAATAAACAGGTGGCTGAACATACAGCACTTCACAAAAAAGAAGGAAAATAAGAAATATGTGCTTGATGAAAGAGGCTGCTCCGCTCCCCATCCTGGGCAAATTCTGAAACTAGTTTTAGTTTTACATAAAACACGTGAACAGGCAACCTCCGCATAATATCACATTTCAACAACTCTGTTGCTCTCTAACACAGATGAAGAAAAGGCTCAAAAACAGATATTTTAATTTAAAACCTTTAGAAAGAAAGCAGATAATAGAAATGAACATGCTTAAGCCGAAAAATTAGGAAATGAAGTCAAGAAAATATTATGATTTAATGGGTGCTTACGAGTGAAGCGGAAAAAAAAAATAATAATCCGAGGGATTTACTATTAGTAAATGATAGTTTTGGTAAATTACTGATGAGTTTTATAAACGTATTTCTTATTAGCAGGAATGTGATAAAAGTTTTACTAGTTTTTGGAATTCAACCTTCCCTTTTGTTCTGTTTCTTCTTTTCGCATGGCTTGAATTCATATGAAACGGCAGGTTTCAGAAACTTAAGGATGATGTTAAATAAATGTAATATCTGTATTTTATTTCAAATAATAATTTTGAACCCGTCAAGAACGTTATTTTTTAAAGCTTCTCATTTCACGCTTCATCCAGAACTACATTTTTCCTAGATTCAAAAAGATATTTGTAACAAAAACAATTCTAAAGAAGAAAAATTCCCTCTTTGAAGTCTGCTCATTTAGAAGAAAAGCAAAAACGTTTGTTTTTAAATAGGTGTATTATGATTCTGCCCAATTTTTCTGTCAATTAGATTAATAAAATTTATAAGAAAAGCTTTCCAAAATAGAGTAGCCTTAATCAGTTTCATGCTTTAATTTTCGAAAGAGATTAAAGTAGATGAATGCTTTCATTGCACAATGAACTGGAATTGCCTCACCTGCGAATAAAACACTTGCTCGCCATCCGAAATTGAGAACAATGAAAGCTGACAGAAAAGGAGCAAGACTGCTAGAGATGTTATAGCTGGATGATAGCAGGCTCCACCATGTTCCAAACTGAGACGGTGTGGCTTTCTGCGAGTAAAAGAAGTCACTTTTAATCAGGATAATGGCATATTTCAGGAATCAGTGATTACCTATATTTTTATTTCAAATAATAACCATTTAAAAATATAACTAACGCTAATTCCATGGTATAAGGTTTTGTGGTTATGAATTCAGTTACCTTATTATTTGGCTTTATTTTCCTTTCATCTTTTATCGATTCCCTCCCCTAGAATGTAAATTTAAGTATTAGTGTAGAGCTCTTGCGTTTAGACAGGAAGTATTAGTAGTATAGGCCAGACATGTCAAACACACGGCCCGCGGGTCGCTTGTGACCCATAACTTTTTTTTTTTTTTTTTTTTTTGCAGCTGTTGGGTCATCCCAAGAAAATAACAAAAATTATGTCATTGTAATATATTAATAAAAATTAAAGTTTCATCCCATATCAAAGCGTATATACGACGGTTACAGCCGAAAACATCGCGGACGAAAACGTCGCAGAGAAAACAACGCAAGGCGAAAACGTCGTGCTACAAAACATCGTGGGAGAAAACATCACAAAGAGAAAAACATCGCAGTTCTAAAACACGTGGTACAAAACATCGTCGTCGAAAATAAAAGCGGTTCAAAACTTCACAGTTCGAAAACATCGTCGTCGAAATATCGTGGTAAAAATAAAGTATCTACAATAATCGCATGACGATAACATCGCAGACATGTTTTTTTCAGGCTTTAATAACTGTAAATAGACCCATAATAATTTGTGAGCGCAAGATGTAAGAAGGATGCTTCTTACTTTCACACATTTTTTTATTAACTAATAAATTTTTGCTGAAAAAGTAAGAAGGAAACTAAGCATAGAAAATTAAATGCAACTTATATATTATATTTTTTATGAAAAATTACCAGTAAAAACTTTATAGAAAATGATTTATTAATGGTCATTGTTAGCTAACTATGTCGGTTTAAAATTCTATTAAGTGCTATAAGTTGCATTAATTTTCTATGCTTAAGTTTCCTTCTTATTTTCTCAGCAAAAATTTATTAGCTAATATAAAATATGAAAAACAAATTATCCTTCTTTCTATCTTGCGCTCACAAATTGTTATGGAGTATTTATTTATAGTTATTAAAGCCTGAAAAAAGCATGTCTGCGATGATTTGTAGATACTTTATTTTTTACCACGACGACGATGTTTTCAAACTGCGAAGTTTTTGAACCGCTTATTTCGACGACGATGTTTTGTACCACGGTGTTTTAGAACTGCGATGTTTTCTCTTTGCGATGTTTTATCCCACGATGTTTTGTAGCGCGACGTTTTCGCCTTTGCGTTGTTTTCTCTGCGACGTTTTCGTCCGCGATGTTTTTGCCGCGATGTTATCGGCGGATACCATATACGACCTCAGGTACTAAAAAGACCTCTTTGCCTTTCTTACTAAAAAAGACCTCTTTTTGATAGCCTGTTTGCAAAAATATTTGCTTAACCGATACGGAGAAAATGCTGGCCCATTTACAAGTGGTATAAACAAAAATTCAGTGCGGCTCAGATGAAAAATTTAGAGAAATACATATCGCCGAATTTTAAAAACACCTGTTTGTGTATTTTTCAAACAGCTAGCTACAAATTTGCATAGCGCACGATTTCCATATGG